CGCAAGTGCAAGGGAGGGTAAAGGCAATAAAAATTCAAACACTAAACAAACAAAGTTGACCAGGCGTGGGGTCGTTAAGATTGCACAGGTAAGCTCTTACCCAAAACGGGTCGTAAAAAAGACTACTACAATTTATGAAATGCAGATAAAAAAAAGAATCAATCCCATCTACTTAAAAAAGAAAAGAATTTTCAGACATAAAAATATTTTTTTTCTTGTTTCAATGACGTCTTGGCGCAGAATTGAAGAAAACGGTTCATAATCACCGCACCATCTCATACATGACGGTTGGGAATCACATAAATTTTACCGAACAAAATAATAAGGACACAGCTCCTACTTTACAGGAGGTGTCACCATTGGTTTTTATTTTCTGCAATCAATCTTACTCCTCTACAACCTATTAAAAGAGTTATAATTAAAAAATGCGCTTTACAAAAAATAATAAAATAAAAAACTGTTTAAAGTTTACCACATAATCCATTGTTAGATTATTCATTTTTTATAAACGGAATAAAAAAAAAATTAATTTATTGAAAGAAAAGTAGAGGGAGAGCAGACGTTTTGAACATATTATATAAATCTCATACAATGAACAGAGAAAGGAGAAAAAACAAAAAACAAAAGAAATAAATAATTTATTACCGCTTATCACAACACTTGCCTTTTACGCTTCTCCTTGTTGTTTCCTCCCACTATCCCTTCAAAGCCATTTGCGGCAACACCTCCACAGGAGAGGGGTGGGGTGGGGGAACATCTGCAGCTTGGGAGCCACGAAGAGCCATTGGGCCGTCTTATCCCTCCAGATCTATCCTTGTGTGTTGATACATACATATTTCGCATGATGGCACGTAACGCCACTCATGCTGCCCGTCGGTTCTGAGGAGTGGCAACCTCAATTGGTGAGTCTTCCTCAATCTCTTCTGGAAGATCCTCAGCAGGATGTTGAGCACGTGCTTTTGCCTCTCTTTCCTCCCAGGGGTAGAGGAAGAACACCTGCAGGACGAAGCAAATCATACCAATGCAACCAAAGAAAATGAAGGCAATTGCTTGACCCTTGTCCTGGTTACCAGACGGACCGCCAGAAATCCTTTCCGTCGCAATCGGGTAGCACACGTTGATGATAATGTTGAAAATGAACTGCATCATCATCACAAAGGAGGAACCCTTCGGACGGAACGAGCGCGGGAACAGATCCTGAGCCAGTACGAAGAAGCACGGGCCAATGCCAAACTCAAACGCAGCAATGAACACAGCAATCCCAGTGATCGCAACACCGTTCTTCACGTTTTCGCTGGCAACGCCAGGATACACAGGGACACCGCACAGAAACAAACATGCAAGGGATGCCACAAGCGAACACGAGATAAACAACTGACGCATCGTGAAGCACGAGGCAAGCGGTATCGAGACCAGAGTCGTCACGAAGTTCCACAGCATCACCACAAAGCTACCCACAAGAGGTTCCATCCCCAGCCTGCTCATGATCGTCGGCGCATAATTCATCACTGCATTGATACCAGTCAACTGCGACGTACCACCCAATGACGCACCCATTAACAGTGGTACAATCATTTTTACATAGCCGTACTCATCCAGGTCAAGCGCATCTTCACCGGCTCCAGTGCCACCAATGAACCTGGTCTTGCTCTCGCCCAAGAAAATACCAAGGAAAATCATTATCACAGATATTAGTGTTGTAAAGGCGCAAAATCCCTCCATTCGGGCAACCATCATTGTGTTCTTGTTGAAATTAACGCTTTGCCCGAGGGCCAACCCCATCAAAGCAGCAAACGCGATGCCGAATGTAGTGAACACCTGGAACAGCACACCAACCACTTTGGAGTTCTTCGGGTGTGCGTTCTGGTCAACGTACACGGTGCAGGTGACAGTTACAACGCCCATAACGATACCAATCAGCAATCGACCAACGCACAGCACCCAGAACTGATTTGTCGCAGCAGACGCGTGGTACATCACCGAGGACACGACGCCAACGATGCCACACACAATAAATGACACCTTGTGCCCGAACCGTGCAACAAATCTTCCGGCAACCACTGAACCAATCGTGGCGCCTAGAACCAAGGCACCAGCAAAGATACCGTTATAGGTGGCGCTGTATCCAATCGGGTTCTTACAATACTTATCACTGTACACCCAGTTGCACCTGTCGTCTGCGAGGCACGCACTCTCGGTATTGTATACCAACTCGCACGTGAAGTCCTTCCACCCACACACATTACTGACAGTGTTCCATGCACAATCCGCGTTCGCCACATGGTCGCACGCAGTAGTCGTCTTGTACAGTGAGCAGTCTGTCGAGGTCAGGAACAAGTGGGCGTACACAGCCACAAAACCGATTGATAAACCACATAGCGTCCCTCCAACCGCCTGCACCTGTGCAACCTTCAGATTCTCCAGTGAGCAGAATGCAGGGGCCTCGTCTGATGTTACGGGTGCATCGTCAGGTCTTTTCTCCTCAATAGGGTACTCAGCAGGAGCCGTCGTCATGCTTCTTCTCGGAGCCTTTTTTTTGAGTGTGCTTTACTTTCGCTTGTCGCAGATAATATTATTGCGGTTAATATCTACGTAAAAAAGAAATGAAATGACGCAAGTGCAAGGAAGGGTAAAGGCAATAAAAATTCAAACACTAAACAAACAAAGTTGACCAGGCGTGGGGCCGTTACGATAAATAACAAACCCCGTAACAAATACAAAACTCAAAAAAAAAGTTTTTCTTTTTAAAAAAAGCGAGTACAGTTGTACAGCCATAGAATAATATGAAATAATATTAGCATAAGGTAAATAGCAAAGGAATTCCCTACAATCCGTAAAATGCAAAAAAAAAAAAAAAAAACGAATAAGCATGTAACTGAAAAAAAACCGTAACGAAAAAAGAGAGCAACAGTAACAGATGCAAAATATTAGGACTCTAACAGCATATAGATACTGTCACTTCCAATCTAACCTACATCGACACAATATCAACACATTCAATCCCTATAAAAGGAGTACAACAAAAAAAAAAACCTGTTCACGCCCAAATATAAAAACGTTTCTACTTTCACTTCTACGGTCTTAACTATAATCATATTATCACCATCTAGAACCCCCCCCCCCCCCAAAAAAAAAAAAAAAATTAAAATTAAAAATGTCCAAACAGAAAAAACAACCACCACAACAACAAGCTATTCACAACGTGATAAAAAAAAAAAACAATCATAATTTCGAAATACCAACTACGTTCGTGTAACCTCCCACAATCCCTTCAAAGCCATTTGAGGGCAACACCTACACAGGAGAGGGGTGGGGTGGGGGAACATCTGCAGTTTGGGAGCCACGAAGAGCCATTTGGCCGTCTTATCCTTCCAGATCTATCCTTGTGTGTTGATACATACATATTTCGCATGATGGCAAGTAACGCCCCGCTCATGCTCCCGTCAGTTCTGAGGAGTGGCAA